AACTATGAATTTAGCTGTTACATCTTAGCAACAAGCAATAAGAAATCATTATTATTCATGAGACCTCAATTTTCCTAATAATCCAAACCACTTCTTTCACACCCTTAGAAAAATATCTTAAAAGATTTGATAAGATAGGAATAGTTACAAATAGTTACAAATAATTACAAATTATATCCCCACAAAGCTGTAGCGTAATGGAGATGAACAGAGCAAATGACTCACTTTTGAAACAACAATCAAACTTTAGTTTTTTGGGGTTTCTTTTTCAATTATACATTTAAAGCCCTGAAGTTCCCCTTTTGCCTTATTTTAACTTTGTGGGTTAATCTGTATCTGCAAAATTTGGTGCCCCAAAAAATAAGATTTCTCATTTAATAATATTTTGTAGTATTGTAATTGTATGTAATATATATTGAAAGGCAAAAGAAACGTCATGTTGCTGTATCATATATATCTTTATTTGTAAATGCTTATACATTGTAAGTTAAAGATGGTTTCTCTTATTTTCATTTATCAAAATGAAAATGAAAATGCAAACACTTATATGGATAGAAAGTAGAGGTGTTCTAATGATTTAGAAAAATACCAGTTTGTCTCACATGTCCATAATTAGTTCATAATTAGCTACATTAGAAGAGAATTACCAGCAGAATTCCAATGAGTGACCAATCAAAAAAGGTCAAAAAGTCTTTTTTTTTTGCTTATCCAGACTGTAAATACATGGACATTTTTAAACTCTAAATTATATGCAATAAGAACATAATGATATGATTAAAAATACATGATAATTCATTAGAAACACCAATTAATCAAATAGTTTGCTTAATTTGACACTAAAAAAAAAGGAAAACCATCTTTAAGACATTGGAGAAAGTGTGAAATCATGATCCTTTGGAGACTAGATGTGGATAATCATCCTACTGTTGCTGTGGGAACGTGGTGTGAAATGTACTCAAGGTAACAAAAGAAGCAGTAGTTCTATTAATGAGTTTATGTAACAGCCAGTGTATGTTCAGTTTTATCAGTACCTTCAGATATGTTCTGTTTCTTTGCCTTTCTGTATATTGGTAGCCGTTTATTAATACCTCAGTTTTGCCTTATCTTTGTACTGTATATTTGTTAGATATTTGATGATATATGTCTATGATATATTTTATACAGACTAATCATCGTATTGTTACTGTTAATACTGGAATAAAACTGACATTTCAATAACAAATTTCTGGGTTTTCTTTTTATCATTAACCCTAGTATACCCTTTACAATCAGCCGACTTAGAGATTAGGGTGGTTGAAAGGTAACAAGTTACTATCCAACAGAAGGCACTGGCACAGGGTTAAAGCAATGTTCATGAATGTTAAGGTTAAAATGGAAATTTGTACTTGTAGTTCAAAGACCCCTAGAGTAATACAATTTAGAGTAATGCCATAACCAAGGAACTTGGGTAAAGTTCTTCACTTGCATATCCTCACGTCTCTATGTGCATATTCATCCGTTCGTCTGTCTATCTTTTAAATGCTGAAGAATCTACAGTTTTATACCAATTTCGGTAAAATATACTATAATACACATACCGCATTTACTTCTGACTTGTTACCAGGCCTCTGATACTTATTATTGCTGGAGATCCTCCAGATAATATTTGGAAGAACTGCTGGTCTGATGGGGTTTCCAACATTATATAACCTATGTTAGAAACAATTTTGCATTTGAAAGGATGTGTCTAGTTTCTACTTCAGCCTTGCTATGGATAATTTGATATGGATATTTATCTATTAACATGTCCTTCAATATCACTTAATGTTAGTAGAACATCTTGTCTAGAAAAAGTAGAGCAATGGCCAGTAAAAGTTAATTCTAATCAGGTCACTGCTCGGCCAATGACCATTTCTAATGCCGGCAATTCTCCAGTCAATACCCTATTTGCTTTGTATAACACTTTAAGTGGGTGTATGTGCCAATTTTTACTTGTTATATATTGAAATATCTATGTGTTACCCTCAATACTGGACATTATGGTGGAAGTTATTAATAAATGAAGTTCATAAAACAGGAAAGAGGACCTGATTTTGTAATAGATTCTCAATTTAAAGATCCATAAACATTGATTATAGTCTCACACAAAAAATATGGATCAGTTAATATCAGCAAGTAGACCAATAAACATAAAGTTATAAATTTAATGCTAGCACTCCAAGCAGGGCATACTCATCCTTATGGCACATCTGATGTCATCTTAGATTGGTTGAAACTTTTTCCATTGCATCCTATATCCAGTAAAATACTCCAAAAATATAATGTATTGTCAAATCCTGGTACAAAATCTTAATAATTGCACTAGGCAAGCCCTAAGCCAGAATCGGAAAATAAGAATTTTTGTTAAGTGATGTTACCACCTGCCGACACTAAAGGAGATTAAAAAAAAAAGAGATTAACATAATTAGGAAAGATAATTAAGCCTCATTAGGGGCATTCCCTTAATATCTGCACCTTTTTAATAGTTTTATTTAAAATTACAGCTAACTGTATAAAGCCATACTGAATCTTCTAACAATGTTTTAATTGATGTCTTACCTGTTAATTAATAGGCGTGATAAATTAGGCAGAATGAAACAGAAAGCAGGTGCCCCCAGCTGACCACCTTTCCCCACCATTCTCTACATGATTAAAGGAACCTGTCATCCTTAATGAGCCATTTTAGACAGTCCCTTGTCAACAAAATTAAAAGGTAACTTACATGTTGCACATACTTCTAAAGATAAAGGAATTTAATTAAGACATATTTAAAAGTAGCTGGATGGTGACAATATAATATAAATGCAACTTTATCAATTGTTCAAGTCTATTGGCTCAAATGCTCTCAATGTTAAATGCACATTGTAAAAGTGCATATATTGAACTTTGCATACCAAATGACAATGGCATAGTTATACAGGCATGATTTGCAACACTCAAAGCTAAATTTCAAGATCAGAGCCCCTGACAGTAGTTTGATAGCACATACTGTGCAAATATAAAGTCATTTATTGTAAGCTTATTATAATAGTAACTGTTCTTGCAACTAAATTTTCTATCACACAATTGATTCCACCATCATAGCATAATGCACTTCATATAACATTCCACTTTATTACTGCAAATTCATTTTAAGGTCTTAGATGTGGCATTATCAGAAATTTTGCACTCTACAGCTTAATGCATTTATTATTGCATTGCACTTTGTTAATGCAACTGTCCTTGTTATGGAGTCAAAATTCTTGGGGGTTGAAAGTGGCCACTATAAGGCAGACTGAGAGTACCTGTTTTCGACCAAAATGATTAATTGAAGCCTTCTTGTGTAAATAATCGGCTAATACAGGTAAGACCGGTGAATGATAATAAGTATAGGACAAAGAACACTAAGAACTGTATACTCAATTTTCTTTGTTTACCCACCGGCTTCAAATTCACAGCTGATCGGTTCACCTTTGACATGACCTTTAAACTCTCGAGCTGTTAAGAACAGAAATGGAAAATTCCGCACACATCTGATTGGTCGATGTCTGAAGTAGGCGTGGCTTATTTGACCTTATTTGGAATAATTTATGCAATGACATAAGTCACTGGATAAAAACAGCTGATTTTCTCCCGGCTTGGAAACTGACTTCCAACTGTCTCCGATGCAGGAGGTCAGCTTCGTATGAAACATTTAAAATCATCATTTTGACTTGTGCACTTAGTTGACTAACTGAGGTGAAGTCAAAACTGTTAAAACGAGAAGATCAGTTGAGCAAAACTCATCAACGCAAACGGTCAGCCGGCCTACTTCTAATACGACTTCGTTCGTCTGTCAGTGTCACGAGATTGAGCTCAGTTGCTGTCAAAATGTCATCGACGACAGACGCATCAGTTTTGAACATGGAATACAAAGATAATTCACCTGCTTTTGATATCGACAAAGTGCTTTTTAAAATCAAGGATATTTTTGGAACATTATCGAGAAAAAATAGTAAGAATAAGGGATATTCTTTAGTGATTGAAAATGACTTCATTGAAGGAAAACAGCAAAAAAATCGATCAACCAGCAAACAGGACATCGAAGGTGAGTTGAAATGACCACTTTTACTACTTTTAGCTTAAGTTTTACTCTAGAAAATGATGTTCATGTTCTTTGAAAATCATTTATCAAAAATATTTCTTTTAACTCCCAAGAAGTTGGTAAATTAACAGTAAAAGGGCCTGTAACTAAACCGTTATCCTATAAGCTTATTTTATCATAAAAATGATTATTTTGCTTTTGATTGAGGCAGAATGAGAAAAATTTTGTCAATTAGGAACAATCTTATAAAATGTTGGTTGATGAGACATAGAATAACAAAGGATAGAATTTTCATCCCTGTCACAGTCACACTGTAGCATGACACACCTTTCTCAATGATGAATAAGAAATTTGTACCCAAAACCTCAGGATGTGGTTAAAATTGATCAATTAAACATCGTATATTTCAATATTACTTATAATCTATAATTATATGATGACAAAGACTTGTAAAGAGTAACAGTTTAAATCTAGACTAGATCAAGTCCCACACTCAATTAGGCTTTAGGGCTTGTTTAGTCACTGTCAAGACACCAGTCAATTGTATTTATTTTTAGCTCATTAAAAAAAGGCCTAATAAAAAGTCATTGAAATGCTTTTCGCATTCAATTCAGTGATTAAATCTAGTGTTCACAGTGGAATGAAATTGAATTGTTGGATTTTTATCTTGTAAATTTTTACACATAGGAACAAATATGAATGCAAATCAATCCCAGGCCCTAAAAAAGTGACAGCATTAGCCAGTCAGAATTCTTATCATTGCAGTTTTCTTGAAAAATCGTATGCAGAATCAAATTTTGATATCTTAACATATCTTATTTGAAGTATTTAAACAATTACAATATTTTTAAATTTTCTAATTTTAGATTGTCATATGCCTGGATTGAATAGTTACGGTACATTTCTGGATGCAAGCGAAATGCAACAATATAAAACTGTTAAATCGAAATTAGAAGAATCGTTACGAAATGCTCGTGATACCAAGTTTAAATGTGAAGTACTTTTTCCTTGTGGTACTACATCGAAAATCGCTCAAGATGTATTACGAATGTCTAGTCAAGAACCTTATGGTCTGCGTGGTTGTGTACTTTATGTGAATTTGGAAGAAAAAAACGTGTGTCGAAAAGTTGCCTGCGTTGAAATGGACCCTACAACTGTGGCCACTTTTGAGCTTTATTTAACATTGAAAGAAGACACTAGAGGATGGTGCATGTTGGAAAAAATTTATCTTACTTTGAAAGGGTGCTTTAAAAACTCCAAATGGAAGAGTATGCCAAAAATCCTTTGTTCTGGTTTCATATTGGAGAAGAAAAAACTCTATCGCACCAATCATTGAACTTGTGTTAGTTGACTTTTTAATACTTAATCGTTTTTATTAGTTTGTAATAGTGCATCATCTCATATTTTTAATGTTTCAATTTTCAACTGTGATAGATACTTCAACTTACACGAAACATTCCCTCATTGGTTGTTACAGCAGTCTTTATTGGTCAGAGGGACATAACTCTGAGGGACAGAACGCTCCTTAGTCCAAGTTGATCAACCGGGTAGAACTCCTTATTAGTTTTTTTTTATAAAAATTTCTGTTCCTTTTGATAAAGTATCTTATATCAGTAAAAGGGACACAACTCTTATAATTTGTACCCATGAGCATTCCATATACAGCCCAATGTAGGCCTACGACAGTTGTTATTCATGACAAGACCAGCATTATGATGGTCAACTGTTAAATCCTCTTCAATTCCAAGTGCTAGAGAAGGAACAACTTAGTTCATCTAATTTATTGAATTTTAAACAAATTCTAGTCCGTCCTCAGCTTATTCATTTCACATTTGGACAAAGTGTGCAATAATCCTCTTATTTCAAATGAATTTTGTGAAATTCCAGCGTTAGGTTTATAACTGTTTAAATGAATAAATATTTAGACAAGTATTTTATTTGTTGTTTTATTATTCACTGTTAATAAGGTGCTGTTACTTTAATCTAGTATCAACAAAATATTTAGTAAATGGGTTACTTTTTTATTGGTTGATTTTCTGGACAGCGCTGAATGTGGGTTTAAATTTGGAAAGTATTTTAATGGTGTGGGCACATGAGTGATCTTGATTGGAGATTTTTGTTGCTGATTAAAGTCTGGTATAATATGTTTCAGGACCGGATTATTGTATCCCAGACATGATTTAGATAACATTCTCTGATAGTTATATCGTCAAAAGACGATCCAATCAGACTCATTTTCCTTTCAGTAGCATGCGAGGCACATAATTATCGACATGGTGGAAAGAGACAGACTAGAAATTTTGGTCTCATGTCCTGAGCCAGTTGGTGAATTTCTTGAGAAGACTAGACGGTAACTATCATTTGGGAAATGGAAAAAGATTTGAAAGATTCATATGCTTAAATGGTTCTGAATCTTGCTTGAAAGTTAGGACTTCTCCTTTTAGTCTTCAAAATGATAATGTATAACTATAGCTTTCCCATATAAATAGTAATCCGAGAAATGAGTTGTTCCCAAGCTCACTTAAAAGTTTCATCATTTCCCATTCTGCTGTCCAATTCATATGATCGCTCTCACATCTTCACTTGTTTTGGCATGAATGGGCCTTTTGAGTGTCACAAGGGACATCATGGAAGTTGGACATGACAATAAACCAAATGATATGTACACAATCGAGAATTCAATGAATATACAGAGATAAGTCACCAATTAACATAAAGTGACATAAAGCAAACTTATTCTTTAAGCATACTACAAGATTTTACCTGCTTTTTAGAGTTCACAACTAATTCAAATAGTCCAAGGGAGGTAACTGATAAATAACAATGAAACTGTTTTGAAATTTATATTATTCAAGAAACAAAATGCAATGTCTTTCCAAAAATAAATCAATGCCCAATGGAGCTGAGAACCCAGCTCTACAATTTTCCCCCTATTCGTTCTTGATGTAGTAGGTGCACTAAAACATTCCATTTCCAATATTAGTTCCAAATTCTCATTGTCTGTTTGTAGTAGTAAAAAAACCAAGGATTGTGTTTGTAGGTCATTTTGTTGACACAAATAATATGAATACAAGTTTAAAACACGTTAAAAATTAGCTACAATGAGTGATGAGATGAAATAAAATGATACTATAATAAAGATGACGATGATGAAATGAAATGATGATTTGGACAGTCAGCTAGTCTAAAATCCAGCACAACATACACTAAGATTATGCTGCTTTTTGAGAACCCTTCTTTCCAATGAGAGACTTGTGAATATGAGGTATAACACCTGAAAAGATAAAAGTAAAATATATTAGAATGATTTTAAGACATTTCATGGGTTAATAGAAATTGGCTCTACATTTCGAGAGTGATGTATTAAATAAAGCAGAACATAAAGCTATCCTACAGAGAAAAAAGAGAAGCAATCGGATTTTTGCACACTCAGAACCCGACAACTTCAGGTCTGATTCAACAGCTTTAGTAATTTTACAAATTGTCAATCCCCATTATCACTTTCCAGACTAGTTTCAAGTTAGTCATAATACAAGGCGAAACGTCATACAGATAAATTGTTGATATGCAGACTAGTGCAGAATGCAATAAATCATTAAATCCATCTTTTCCTTAGATCAGTATCATTGACAAATGGAAACAGAAGTATGCACTGCTCTGCAGTAGCTTGATATTCCATTGGTGTTACAAAGAGACACTTACCACCGCCAGCAATTGTTGCTTTGATAAGAGAATCTAATTCCTCATCTCCTCTGATAGCTAATTGTAAATGTCTTGGTGTGATACGTTTTACTTTTAAATCTTTACTGGCATTACCTGCCAACTCAAGCACCTGAAATAAAACATTATTTCAATTTGGGTTTAGCAGCCATGGATACGACAGAATTATAGTAAGGAGCTATGACATTTTTATGTTTTAAGAATTTCGTTATGTTTGCTAGAAAGAGGAATTAGGAACAGCTTTCTAACAGCCTAGCTGACCGCCCTAGTGGAGATTCATTATTATGTTTTGCAACTATTACACTGAACTTCTGTGAAACATTTATGACCCACTCTGTACTTTTAAACTGAGATCATCTCAATTCTATGTACCAATAATTTGTATGGTAAGTAAGATCATTTTTTTGGTAAATTATCTTAATAAATTTATATAATGTAAATGAACACAACCAATCAAATCCATTGTTGCAACACAGAATTCCCTACTTCCGGTTCCGCTTCAAAATGATGGCTGACCGCGCCATTTTTCTACCCGCGAATTTTGACATGTCAATTTTTAAAGTGGCATAACTTTTTCGATTTGGGAGATATTTTGATCAAAATTGTTGCATATCATTGCCAAATGATGCAAGAATTCCAAAAAGCAGCCTGTTACATCGAAACTCTACTGGAAAGTCATTTTATCGAAGCTTGAAGTTCGTATAAAAATACTGTAAAGTCAGGTGCAAATTCACATCATTTGTCATTATTTTCACAGAGTATGCATTAGCAAAATCTTAGTTTCTTACCTCAGCAGTAAGATATTCCAAAATTGCAGCACTGTACACTGCTGCGGTCGCTCCAACTCGCCCATGGCTTGTGGTTCTGTTCTTCAAATGTCTGTGAATACGACCAACTGGAAACTGCAAAAAGTTTAATTAAAATTGAAAGTAATTTGAAATATTTTGTTTTTTCCGCAATGAAAGATGAATAAGGAAAACAAATAAACCATACTAACCTGTAGTCCCGCCCTTGCTGATCGGGACACGGCCTTTGCTTTCGCTTTTCCTGAATCTTTACCGGCTTTTCCTCCTGCCTATAATAAACAAGAAGATTGTTTACAAACATTGACCAAAAAAATTCCATCTCAGTGACCTACAAACGCAAAAATCATCAATCCGGGCGGAAAAAATATTCCTGTATCAAAATTACGAGAATTTATATTCGGATGGACATAAATTTGAACGATTTAAAAGCGATTTACTTACCATCTTGATACACTGTCAAATACTATTCTGCTCAATGACCTACTCCGCCAAAATACAGCGTCAGTTATAGTATGTCACGTGATAGTATTGACCAATCGAATGGGAATATTCACTTGGCTGAATGAGATTCTTTGTTTATTGTCTGCATGTAGATAATAATGAAAATAGCGCCAATATAAGAGATTAAGGGTGTTAATTGAGCACAGCTTTTGTTTTATAGCCTTTATCCATTTTCATCTTGATGATATTCCGAACAATTTGTTCATCCCTTTTGTTTCGGATTGCACAAGAGACAATTATATTTGTTTAAGGGGAGGGTACTCTTTTATAAGCAATGTCAGACCAAAGTTATTTGCAGTGCTTTTACGCATTATTTCCTAATAAGATCACGAATTACAAGAAATGAAAAGAAAATTAACACAATAACGCCGGCGAACGATTTCCTCACTCGACTCAATCCTGATTCAATCAACACTTACCTAATGGGGAGATTAGGAGAGTCAAAATTAAATTAACGATTAAAATAGCGGTAATTGATTAAGATGATGGGCTGTCGGCTTACTACCATTTTCTTTTTTGGTTTTTCATGAGACTGCGAAAGCCTAGACCAATCAATGAAAAAAAAAAGAAAAAAAAAAGGTCTACTGTTTCCATTTTGCGTAAATATAGACGGCTAGCTAGTCGTCTTACATATTTTTATTGTTATCCTAACTGACGGTCATTTCTTTCCTTGACCTTGACAGGATTTTGCTCATTTTGAATAAATGAAAAACAGGGGGTTAAATAAGTTGAACAAAAACTCCAGACATTTGAAATATTTAAGTCCAACTTTTCCTAGGCTTATTAGGTTAATTCATTTGGCTGGAAGCTAGGCTAATGGGCTGAAATCTTCTTAATTTGAAATAAACATTTTATTCTTGAATTTTATTGTTGTATCGTTTCTTTGTAGACATTAACATATTTATTGAAAATGATATTTTACACATTGAAGCTATCTTTAAGCAATTTTATTTGTCCCAAGTGGATACTATAGCCGTGTTCCGTTCTGAGGAACCGATCTGGAAGAAGTTATCGAACGCACGCCGACACATATCTGGTATGAGTTTCGAATGCACCTTGACAGAAATCAAGATGGCAGCTTCCATAAGAAATCAACTTTCTCAGCTTGCTGGGCTTTCTCATTCAGGTGGCTCGCACAAAGATGTAACAGAAAAGTACGTCAATCTTTTTTGTATTTCTGAAGATAGGAAAGCTCTCTCCTCGTTTCTCTAAGCTTAGATCTACATGTAAACATCATGATCTCCACTCATTTGACACTTTAAGTTTTACTCTCGCTTGTTTACCAAGTTCTAGTTCCAAAAACTAAGTTCTCTACTAAGTATACAAGCTTCTTCTTGGCAAGTACAGTGTCTGTGGGCACGATAGTCACTGTCTGAAAGGTCCAGACAGAATGAGTTTAGAAATGTACCGGTACCGAGTAGGCTAAGATCCCACCCCTCTTGACATGTCAAACCCAGAATTTTAGCCAATTTAGGAGTTTTGATGAAAATGTCTTTTCTTATATTGAGGATCTAAATGTGTTTTCTTCAATATTTTCATTTAGGTATAAGAGTATTCTAGAAACAATAATGAAAACTGGAGGTACTGAGCTTATCCCATCATTACAAGTCTTTGTGGAAGCATGTAAGTATGATTTTTCTTAAGGCTCTATTAATAAGGATAAAAGGATAAAAACTTTATTGTACTTCATGCACCATGATCCTCTCAAAAGCTCCATAATGAGGTCAAATTGTACATAACAATTAACATAATATAAAACATTAAATGCTTAATATAAAATTAATGATCAATCATTGACTCCGATAGGTAGGTGAAATCAAATCAATTTAACTTTAGTAGGTGAGTTAACCAACAAAATTTTGACATGTAGATGAGTTGACTGGGAATCTGATATACAACTTTTATTGAAAAGAAAGATGGCTCATTCGTTAGTGAATATAATATTGTCAGTGCCTTGTTATTTACTTTTTCAGTAACTTTTCAACCAACTGAAGCACTACTTTTATTGAGAAGAGCAGAAGATCAAAAATAAAAGAAGTGATAATTTTCTGACACTGGCATGGGATAAAGAATTTCTTTTCAATATTTCAGTGATCAATGAAAATGTTAGTTTAGTGATATCTCGACAGATATTGACAGAATTTACAACTCAGCTGACCAAACTACCAGATAATATAGCTAAACAAGTGTCTCATTTCACTCTGGAGAAAATACATTCTAGAGTTATATCATTTGAAGAGCAGGTATGGCTAATGTTTATAGAATTAAAGATATAAAATTATCACTTGATTGGTAAACAGTTATCAATTTGAGAGAAAATGAACCTCTGAAGAATAGTCCATGAATACTGATCATATATTATATAAAGGTACTATGAAATTCTGAAGCTGAAAAGCTCAAAACCATTGATTGATTTAACAGGGTCAATTTTTTTAATACAGTTTTCATTAAATACACTTACTGCACTGTAGAAATATGTGTGAAAAAATCTTAGCTTTGGATTCGGAGAATTTCAACCTCGGTAAAAATCCACCCTGGTAACCCCAATAATTATGAACCCCAGCAATCCCGGTAAAACCCACACCCCGGAAACCTTCCACCGAGGTCCCTGAACAGTATAAATAGAACCCTGCAAGGTGAGTCTAATCAGTCTGAAGAGTTCAAACACAAACGAAACTAGTCAATGATAATCGGGGATAACTGGTCGCATAGCCAATTTTTATCTCTTACCCCTGCCAACGACCCAGTTATGGCTAATTTTGTGACCCCCGTGGGCAGTCGTGATCCCCTTTTAAAACTCAGAATTTACAACCACCTTGGTGGAAGAAAATCCTTTGAATTTAATACTTAATTCAACTTATCAGGTTGCAGCCATAAGACAACATTTAGCTGATATTTATGAACATGAACAAAGCTGGAAGGAGGCTGCTGGTGTTTTAGTTGGAATTCCATTAGAAACAGGACAGAAGTAAGTGCCTTCATCTTTTCTTTTGGTCTGGACATATGATTTTAATCATCATTATAATTTGTTTGATATTGGAGGTTAAATTTACGATATATGTACGATTAGGAACAATTTTAGTGAAATGATGATACTTTTTAATGCTTTGTACTATTGGGTGGAAACATTGATAAACCTACAAAATTTACATGTCAGGCATCGTAGCTTTTCACAATATCAACATTATTTCAGGCAGTATACCACAGATTATAAATTACAAACATATTTAAAGATAGCTAGATTATATTTAGAAGATGATGATCCAGTATTAGCCGAGGCGTTTATCAACAGAGCATCCATATTACAGGCTGATTCTCAAAATGAAGAATTACAAATTCATTATAAGGTATTGATTAATATTTTTCTTTTTTACAACTTGATGGCTGTAATACATTTCAAAACAAGATGATAATGAGACTAATTAGAAAAAAATTAGAATGTGAGAATTTGAATTTTGGCCATATTTTCTGGTAGTGAAGAATGTCCTTCAATTTGAGCTCTGATACAAGATACAGTGTGACTCACTTCGCTAGCAAGCACAGAAGGGCACGAAGAAATGTTAATTTGATATTTGGGACTCTCATTTTGCCTCCTTTCTTTGAAGTTCTATAGCACAGTCGGTTAGAGCATTGGTTCTTGATATGACATCATTTGCATGGTTACATCGAGCAAATTGCTTCTGTGGATTCAATTCTGAATGGGCGTATGATTGTCTGATGACCTTGAATAAGTCATCTTCGCTCATAATTCCAGTCCACCCAGTTGTAAATGGGCATGGATAATCCGGGAAAGATCAATGTCAAGATGTATGGCCACGGACCAGATGGTAGAAAGGATCCTTAACTGTGAAGCCATGTTGTTATCCGTGTAAAATAAAGTTGTTTCTTTCTTTTCTTTCTTTCTAAGAGTCCATAAAGTTAATAATGCCATATTTACCCTATTTCAATATTACAGACATGCTAGAGTATTGGGGTCTGTCAAGGCTCATCTTTTCTTCCACACAGTTAATATGTTAATTTTACTTATTTTTCAGGCATGTTATGCAAGAGTATTAGATTATAGACGGAAATTTATAGAAGCAGCTCAACGATATAATGAATTATCATACAAGGCCATTGTTGCTGATGAAGAAAGAATGACAGCTTTAAAGAATGCTTTAATTTGTTCAGTTTTGGCTTCTGCAGGTTGGCCATTTTGATCTTCATTTGATTATACTTTGAAAGGATTTTGTGTGCACCATCTTACAATGCAATGGAATGAAACCCTGAAGCTTTCCCTTGAACAAAACATTTCTTAGGCATAGAAATGTAGGTTTCTTTTTACTTTGTTTCAATTGAGAACTGTGTGCATTGTAATATCACATTTCATTGCAAAAAAGAAGAATTGACAATAACTGTGCTTGTGAAATCTTTTGAAAAATGATAAAATAGTCCTAAATTAATGGACAAGATATCATTCATGCTGCTGACATGTGTTTTAGATATAAAATCCTCATCAGGACAGATGGTATAGAAATGGGGTCAACTATTCTAACATTGAGACTTGTATATTATATTTTCTAGGACAGCAAAGATCAAGAATGTTGGCCACTCTGTTTAAAGATGAAAGATGTCAACAATTACCAGCTTTTAATATCCTGGAAAAAATGTAAGAAATTTGTCATGAATAAAGAAAGGAGAACTTTCCTTTAGGACACCCTTGATCTTAATTATCAGCCCTATAATAGCAGATGATATGGGCTGTAATATTAAACAGATGGTAAAGAAGGTTTTCTAGCTATTTTATGTGCATCGGGGACATTCATGGCTTTTTTTTGCATCATTCCAATTCCATCCAGATGTCTGAATTCTGTTATAAAAATGCTTAATGATGTACGTCACTATTGCAAAGCAGCTAATAATTTGTAATGGTCTTTTTTCTAGGTACATCATAAAACGTTTAGATAAGTGAAATTACAAAACCCACAGACGTATGACTGAAGATTGATATGTTGCAAATCGATGCTATCAGTGTCCCTGATACACCTAAAAAGTTTTGAAAGCCTATTTATATTCTGATTAAAATTCTATATTAATTGCTATTGTTTTTGTTACAGGTACCTAGATAGAATAATTAGAGGCAGTGATCTTCAAGAATTTGAATCTTTGTTACAAGCTCATCAGAAAGCTATTACATCAGATGGTAATTTCAACTTTTTAAACACCATTTGTTTAACTGAAGAACCCACGACTCTGATACAAAACAAAATTAAATATATTTTCCCTCTTTGAATTCTTTGAAAAATATAATAACCTAAATAAGATGAGAAAATTGAGTATAAGAAGGGTGACAACAAAGAACAAGCTGGGAGAGACCTTTTAGGCATTAACATTGGGGCCCCTTGGAAACCTGTAGGCTTGAAGACTCAGAGCTGCCCTTTGTATATATATCTAAAATTACCATACGTGTACTGGGGTATATTCATTTTATAGAGCAATAATTCAACATAATCTTACCTCCTTTCTAGGTTCCACAATATTGGATAGAGCAATTATAGAACATAATTTACTATCAGCCAGTAAACTGTATAATAATATTTCATTTTCTGAACTTGGATCACTGTTAGAGATTAAACCCGCTAAGGTAAGATTGGTCAGATATTTTATGCTTTATCCCTATCCTGTGGTAGTGAACTTGGTAGAAACTCATCTTGGGTAAATATCCTATGCTTAAAACCTAGCAAACCTATCGGTCTACATCTTCACAATGTCAGCTATTATGTTATTCGTCTTATACTATGACTGCAATAGCCGTTTTTCTTCTATTTTTCTTTTATCACGGACGTTTATAATATAGAAATTTGGTTAGCGAATACAGACATTAAGTACCCTTCCTTCGACAGAAAACAATAACCAGTCTGTATGTCAAGGGTTATGGTTGGCTGTATTCGCCGGCCTACAATCCGATCAAATCGTTGCATTCCATGATACAAGAAAGATGACAATTGCAGTCAAGGTATAAGGCAAAGTTTGTGATAGCTTGACATTGTGAAGATGTAGACCGAGTTCACTACCACTCATCTGAATATCTTAATGTGTCACATATTTATGAAGGCTGTCTTTCCTGGTTAACATTTTACTTTTGTATATTTACTTCTGGTTTTTTGTTTAATTTAAGGCAGAGAAGATAGCATCTCAGATGATAACTGAAGGAAGAATGAATGGTTATATTGATCAGATAGATTCTATAGTACATTTTGAAGGTAAATGTCTTCTCATGGATTTTGACAAGTATATCACAGGTGTAATGATGATCTTTACTTCTCTATCATCATATAGTAATGTTGATATATCTTTTATTATATCATAAAACAAGTCTCGAACACAGTATGTTACAACACTACATAATAAATCAGGGTTAATATCAGGCTACAATCGTCTGCACTCACAAAAGCCTCAATCTAATCTCTCGATTTTCTCTACCAAACTGTATATATATCAATCACCAAATCTATATTTTGTGCGGCAATCCGAATATATATATATCATTATACAGGAAGGGGGATTTAATAAAGTAATACTACAAACTCAAAAGTTAAACATTGTGATTGCATATTACTTTTGATTCATGCCATTTACCCTAAAAGTGCTCATCCATTGAACCGTTTTGCCCCTATAAGTTAAGGGAATTGTTCTAATATTTAATTATTAATTTCAGCTCGTGAGACATTACCAACTTGGGATAAACAGATACAGAGTCTGTGTTTTCAAGTGAATAATATCATAGAGAAAATATCAACGACTGCTCCAGAATGGACGAATAAAACTATGGAAATGAATTGAACTGTACTGCTTTGATTTAATTATTTAGTTCAAATGCTATGTAAATATAGTGCTCTATGTAAATATTGTATGTATTAAATAATCTTCAGATATAAATAAAGTGATCAGAAATTGTTGATTTGTCCATCTTCAATTGTTTTTCTTCAAAAGTGCAACTTTTATAAGCATCTGAAATAATGTTCACTCATTTGAGAGTCAAGTAGCCCTTTTTTTCAGACTTCACACCCCTAGATTTGCAGCTTGACCCGGATCTCAACAACTTTGAACAGATTGACATTTTTCTAAATATTTACATGTATGCATATTGTGGACACTGATAGCATTGATTTGCACCATTCTAATTTTCAGTCAGACGCCTATAGTTCTTGTAATTCAACTCATCATTTATAATATATAAGCAGCTTTTACCATAGTTATATCATATGTCTGGTTAAACATTTCTATGATTACAAGAAACAGATATCTGAAGGAAAATTGTAATGATGCAAATTTAAGCCATAAATGGCTCTGATACACATTAAGTTCAGAAAACCTTTAATTCCATAGACTAATACTAAAATATAATCAATTTATTGAATTAATTATTAAATTATTAAGGTACAAAAAGCAAATAAGTAAGTAGAGTGCAAATAAAAAAAACCCATTACCAATAATCAAAAGATAAAACAAATTAAAATGCAAAGAGTTAAATCACCATCTAAAATCAAAAGGAATAGTGAATGATTATATTGTGTATACTCAGATTGTTTTTGTAGGTCAAAAAAATTTTCTGCTCAAATTTGTTAAAACTGTACACCAAAATCTATAGAATTGTGTTTCAACCATTAATTTTTTAAAGCCTTTTTTGAAATTGTTAGAGAAGTAGGCTACTGTTCGGACTTACAGGAATACTACTCTTAGAATGAACATAAAATATAACAATTTAAACTTGGCCAATAAGAGCATATATTCATCAGTAGATATACCTGGTGTCAAAAATAACATAACATGATCCTTATATAATCCCATAAATCCAAAACTAAGTAATTATCTATCAAAATGCAATTAAGTATTGAAAAACGTGTTGTTCAATAATTACTTAGTTTTATGAGTTTTTCAGATTTTACAAATAAAATAAACGATTAATTAGAAATATGTCTCCATGCCAAACACCAAAACTAGGTCAAACTGCTTAATTAACAATTAGTACTCTCCATTTTTAGATAACCCTTTTTAAACAAATTCAATTTGATCTTGAAGTAGATACTCAGATACAAACATAATACTTTAGAAATATTTTTAGGTACAAGTTACAATGTTTGATAATAATTTTTTACAAAAAAGTGGAATGCTCCTTTAAAAGTCAGGAGCTATTTCATGAGCAATCAAGTCATGTTCATTTTCCCTATATACATAGGTATAGGTATAGGAAAACCAAGTCCATTACCATTGATAAAAGTTGGGTTGACCAGGTTGCAGAGGAAAGTATTGAGACAAGACGCCAGGATTAGCTGTCATTGGTCCTGGGAAGCAATTGTTGTTAATGGGTTGACTGTTAAGATTAATCATGGGGTTTCGTTGATGGTAAGCTATCTGATGATTGTAAGGATTAATCACGGGGTTTTGTTGTTGGTAAGCTATCTGATGACTGTTAGGATTAATCACGGGGTTTTGTTGATGGTAAGTTGTCTGATGACTGTTAGGATTAATCACGGGATTTTGTTGATGGTAAGTTGTCTGATGACTGTTAGGATTAATCATGGGGTTTTGTTGTTGGTAAGCTATCTGATGATTATTAGAATCCACTGGCACATTTGGTGAAGATGCTGATAAATGAGGTGGAAGTTGCTTATCAAGAATAGGTGGAGTTGTCCTATAAACGTGCTCGGTCATCTCCATTAGTTCAGCAGGTGGAGGACACATAAGTTCAGTCTTGACAACCTTGCTGATTCCATTTGAATGTTGAAGTTGAATACCAGCTGCACCTTTAAACTTTTTGAGAGAGGTTTTAACATTTTCATAAAGGTTGGCTTTATTCTTAAAGTTTATACCACTAAGCACCAGATCTTGTTCTTCCTTCTTTAAGTTTGCACCTTTCAACAACTTGAACACAAGCATTTCTGGAGACAGTGCCATATTTTTCTTCAAAATGTTTTCATACTTTTTGTCAAATTCAGAAATATATTCTTTGATCGATTGAGTATACACACGTTTAAAATCATCAAAGTCCTCATATATTTCTCTACAGCCAACAAGATTCTCCATTCCCAAATGATTATCCAAAAAAGCTAGAAGGACTTCGAAACCATTCAAATCCTTTAGACAATCTTTTGACAATTCTTCAAATACACGTTCGCGAATGAGGGCATGCTTTCCCTGCTCAGGCAAGCTTAAGGCTACAACAATGCCCATTTTCTCTACATTGGTGATTTCTTTCCATGCCAACAGCTCTTTTTTATACTGTTCATACCTTTTTCCATCAGAAAATACAGGAGGGTCTACATTCATTTTGACTTTTTCACTTCCGCCTTCGCTTCGGGGTCCGGCGATAAAATCACTTAAAAGTTAAAAACAAGTTTCTTTCGTTACGAATCGTTAGGCTAATCAATAACTTTGAATGTACGTAGACCAAACTAGTCCGTTGTTTCGGCAGAAAAGTTTAATTGTTATCGATAAATATCAAATAATCTCCAATTACGCACAAGTAAGCTAAAATGGCTACTTTGTAGGTACCTCCTAGTCTAGTTCAGTTTCAGATCAAGCGGCGCCTCCTAGCCTAGTTTCAGTTTCAGATCAAGCGGCCCCCACCCATTCGTTATTCTTCGGTTTGCCATGTTAAAGGTGAATCAGAGGATAAGGTTCATACATACATACATTCAGTTAAATTCTTATTTATAACTCTTTGGGTCTATATTATATCTATACTTTCTGACTGAGTCTAGTATGGAAACTTTCACGAAAGGCCGTTTGTGAAAGTTTGCCAAGCGCACTGCAGCCATTGAATCGACTTCTCAATTTATTGTTTATTTCTTCAATATATTTTGTTTTTGGCAAATTGTGCAGGATGTGAGGTAGATGATATTGCTGCTGCCACAAGTCAGGTTTTCTTCTATGGGAAATTTGGCATTATTAGAAGTATTGAAAAAGAAGGTGGTTGAGTTGAAACAAGGACTGAACATGTAGATTTCAGACAGGGTTTTGAACTGACACCAACAAGGTTGACCCGTGTTACTGGCAATGCATTGTGTCCAAACCACACCCATATTCGTCATACTTCCTCGGTTAATAAGACCATGCGAATCCCGTATTCGTGATACGATGGGGGCAATGTTTTTGGCTTTACGTTCACAAATGGTTGAATTTTTATCGTTATTGCAATTGTTTAAAAACCATGACACATGCCTCGTTGAAGTCCGCTTCCCGCGTACAAATTCGGTGGAACCGTAATATTTGGGATTTAATTACTCCTGGAAATGTGGGTTTAGGATGGACTTATACATAAGTTGGTGAGAGGGAGTAATGGACAAAGAAGAGATACTTCTCTTTCCCATTCTGCCATGAAATCATGAATACATTTGAGTATGATGGGACAAAGCATTCACCCATTAGTAGTACCAGAAATCTGAAAATATACTTTTCATTAAAGGTGAAGTCATATTTCCAATAATAGCACGTTATCAGAAGCCTTTCTTACACCGCGGAGACCAGAAACATTTTTCTAGGATACGAAGAAGAATTAATGAAGACGCATTCTGATTCTTTGAGAAGCCTAGGTAAATTGGACGACTTTCTCTATCACATATTTTTGAAAGACTTGTGCGATTTTCTAGTATTTCTGAAGACTATCAACAAATATATTTAAGTCCCACTGCCACAGGTACCCCGGGTTTCTGTCCCACCATCGTCACAGGGTATTCCATGTTTGCTATCCTGTCAACCCCCCGTTTCTGTCCTGCCAACCCACAGTACACCAGGTTTCTGTGCCCCATCGTCACAGGCTTCACGCTAGTAAGGCTTGTTACTTGACCCAAGTATCAACACCTAACAGATTGACATACATGTATATTTTCTAAACTTGTTTTATGTGTTTTGGGGACATTGATAGCATCAATTTGCACCATTCAAATTTTCAATCACGTCTATAGTTCTTGTTATTCCACAAAAACTAAGCGTGTAATTTATGAGCACATTTTACCATAGTTATGTATCCGGTTAAACATATCTATGATTACAAGAAACAGACATCTGAAGGAAAATTGTAATGATGCAAATCGAAGCCATAAATGGTCTTTATAGACATAAAAAGTCCAGAAAACCCTTAATCCCTTAGACTAATACCAAATAAAATCAACTTGTTGAATAATTTATTATCTCAAACTGCACAAGGTACAAGTTATTGAAATGAAAGAGAAATAAAAATATGAGATAGACTCTTTGTGGAAGGAAGAATAGAATCGATTATTTTACAATAATTACTATTTTCAGTATCTTTTTTTTATAATTATAATAATAATAATCCTGAGACATCAGCTGGAATCAATTCTACACAATGACAACATTGGCTTTACTTCATCAAAATCTGTTGGACTATCTTTAACCTCTTATAGATGAAATCTGGGTTTTCTGAATGCCTTTTCACAAAGGAAGCACAATGTTATGCACAATTTGGTGCAGAGATTTTTCTCATGTTTAATTTGTCGAGAAACAGGGACCTCTCCAGATGAGCTAAGATCGTTTTGAGAATACGTTTCCAGGGTTGTACTTAAGCAGAATCTTCACATAATTCCTTTGTCAGTCTCAACACCGGATTTTGATGAAGTAAACGGGGTAAAGAGTGTACCAAGAGAAAGTGAGCGGGGCTATTTACAAGAATGTAATGTATTTGGACTACCCTGTAGATTATAGGCTTACTATTTATAGAATATGTACAATGATCACAGAATTCTTACTCCAGAGAATTAAGTCAGCCTTTTAAAGCAATGTATTGGACACATAAGACAAATCTCTCCGGTTCATCAGCGATAATGACCTAGTGTGTCACCGCCTTTAAAGTTTATAATTGATGGGATACATCCAGTCCTTGTGCCACCATCTTTACAATTAAGGAATAGCCAAGGTTTGAGTTTAGATTTAATTGGACACAACCTCTGTCCAAGGATCAAAATGTAAAAAAGGTACTTCATGAAACAATATGCAATAATCAAAGGCATAAGGACTGGAATGAGCAGGGTACTCCAAGTTTTAAGTTTTGAGAAACAAATTGAAAAATTCAGACAACATTGGTTATTTCCATGGCAAAAGGATTGGAGAGGACAAATCTTCTTCCCACTATCCCAAGTTCCTATGCCTAAGACAATATTGGTAATTCAAATGAAATAATTTAGATTTGTATCTTACAAACCAGTCTATATAGCACACTATAACAAAATATATCATAACATTCTGAGTAAACAATAAATAACTCATACTTCACATTAGGTCATGACCAAAGTAGAGTCCCCAAATTGACAACATGTAGAGTTAAATTGGCTACATGTAGAGTCCGAATTGACTTGAGTGTATAGTACTAATCGTTACATGTAGAGTAAAAATGTTTACATGTAGTCAAGTGGTTACAAATTGGGTTCAAATTGGCTACATGTAGAGTCAAATTGGCTACATGTAGTCAAATGGTTACAAATTGGGTCCAAATTCTCTACATGTAGAGTCAAAATGACTTGGCACTTTAAGCACTACAGTTAACATCCTTGAACTCCACACGATAACCACTGACCTCTTTTTGAGCACTGAAAAACAACTGATATCAACTGGAATTAACACCTCTCTACCAGCCACATAATTGCCATAGAAGCTGCCATTATCAAATGTTCGAGTCTTATGCTTCAGTATCAGGAGCTCCCCCTGATAACAGTTTATCTCAGTTTTCAAAAGGTTAATCACTAAACTCAGAATAAGTTCATCTTCTCATGACTCCATTCATTGGCAACCCATACCCATATCCATACATAGGGTTATTGGGTTGACCATGCTGCATTTGCTGAATCTGTTGTTGAAATCGTTGAGGTTGCATGTGCATATTCATGTTCATCATTTGCATTTGCATGGGAATTTGCTGTTGATTGAAGAAACCATGATTAGCTGTCAGATAGCCAGGGTTTATCATGGTATTTTGCATTGGATAGCCATTGAACATGTTATTATACCGCGGCAACATTCCAGATCCTGGTTGGATGGTAACATTTGGTGTAAATGTCATATTTGGATTCACTGTCACATTGGGCGTTACACTAGGACTCTTTCTGACGGAGGCTGAAGATGATGATGATGACGAAGATTGTCTTCGTTGATATTTACTACATTGCTGTGCCATTAACGTAGAAGCCGATAACTGAGGTGGGGGTTGTAAATTAGGAATGGGTGGAGTTGTCATACGGATCATGCCAGGGGGAGGAGTCATGTTCACTGGAGGAGGCGGAGTTAAATTAGGGGGAGGGGTTGGCATAGTTTCTGGCATGATATTGTCAATATGATTAGTCATTTGTTGAAGTTTAGCGAGACTACCACCTATATTATTAGGGGTATATGTAGGGGTTTGTGATTGTTGGCGTCCCAACATAGCACATGGTGTATTACTATGCATTAGTCTTTGGGTGCTTTGCGGTGGTGGCAAGATTGTAGGACTGTATCGATTTTGAACAGGTGATCCATAATTGTTAGTGTTCGATGCAGTTGGCATATAATGTGGATTTGGTGTGCTGCTAACTGGCATGGGTACCTGACCCATTGGATTCACTGTGTCCATAAATCTAGTTGGTCGCGAATTATTGCAATATTGTTGCATATGCTGAATTTGTTGCATAGCACAGTCTGAATAGCTCATTGACATGATTGGAGCATTTTCAACACTTCCTACTGAATTATTGGCCATTTCACTACTACTTATAGAGGCTGGCGATTCCAGTCCCAGCTGTGTGACGTCTATTTCACTATAGTTTGTGTTTGTCATACCCGCATTAGAACTTGGCATATTGTTAATAGGAGCAGATTGAGGAGAGAACACATTTTTAACATTGCTGTTATAGGGGGAAAGATTTGGTGGGCAACTTGGTGTGCGTGTTGGGGTTAAATTCGGTTGTTGTTGTTGAGGTGGAGGTTGATGGGGAGGAGCTTGTTGTTGCTGCTGCTGTTGATGTTGTATTGGAGGGGGCGGAGCCTCGTTTGATCGTGGATTATGAATATTCAATGTCTCTGATGCTGTAGCTAGTTGTTCACTCACTAAGTTAGTTGTCCTACTATCGTCTATTTGTTCTATATTTTGCTGGAGTTCATTAGAGAAGGTATTTTTATAGTTATTAGCTGTCATCAGATTATCACGCGACGGCAATGATGGACTATGATGCTCTGTAGAATGTTTAATGGGTGATGTGGTGTTCACATTTTCTTCCATAGTCCGAACACCCTGTTCACTGTTAACACTAGGAACACCACCACCACTGTCACTATGAACACTATGTACACTATGAACGCTATGAACACTTTGTATACTATGAACACTGTGTACACTGTTATCAATTATTTCTTCCACATTTGGACTGGGTTTATTGTTGTCTAGTTCATTAACAATTGGTGGAGTTATCTTTTCTTCTTCCTCAGGTTCATCATCTAAATCTTCATCTTCTGATTTTGATTGTGGAGAAGGCGCTGAAGGTGGGGCTGGGGGTGATAAAGGAGCAGAAGGCGAGAGAGGCGCTGGAGGGGAAAGAGGAGCACGTACAGATTCCGGAGTGGGCACTTGAGGTGATAAGGGAGCAGGCTGACTATCACTGTCGGGTTGAGGTGAAGAATCAGGAACTTCAATTACTGGACTAGGCTCCGGCACACTGGATGACACGCTCAATACAGGCTCCGTAACATCCTCTACACTTAGTGGGCTGTTGGTTTCTTTAAGTAACGGAGCCTCATTTGATTTGATTTCTGGTCGAGGTTCAATAACATTTTGAATTTCTTCATCGTCTTCAATTGCCATTTCAATAGACTTACATGCAGAGTCAGATATTTTCGTATCTTCATCCAGATTTGCAGAAATATCTGGATCAACTCCTTCATATACCTCTTCCTCTTCTTCATCAGATGAAGATGATGATGATGATGAAGATGATGAAGAAGAATCACTATCATCATCATCGTCATCATCAGACTGTTTCTCATCATCACCGTCACATGCTGTATCACCGTCCAGCTCATCACAATGAATCATGGGTAATTCATTCTGAGTTTCAACTTCCTCCTCTTCACGATCTGCAATTTCCGTTGTTTCAGATCTAGTTGTCTCCTCCTCCTCATCATTTTGAGAATTGTCATCACTGTCATTTTTATCAGTGTCTTTATCACTATTATCACTCAGTTTCCTGTCTGATTTTACACCGTTAGATAGAGAATGATTTCTACTGCTATTATTATTATTATTATTGGAATTCTTGACTCCATTTGTTAACTTTTTCTTCCAATGCTGAAAGAAAAGGACAATTAACGTGTCAGGTTTGGAAATTTAATAATGTCTTACAAAGGTGAAGGGATATAAAACTTTATTAAAGATTTCTTTTTGAAAATTTATAATTTCAAAAAATATCTTGAGATAACTTAAGGCTCTGAATCAGGTGCAGAAAAGCAAGACATTTCATTTTGGCTCTGAAAGTTTTTTGTTTTATGTCCTACCATCATGCACCTCATTGGACTAAAGAAGACAGGCTCCTTGAAGCAGTATGCAACGAGGGTAATTCTAGCTAGGACAGCACCATTACTCTACTCATCTCCTCAAAAAGACCAATCATCAGACTTTAACTTTACATAACCTCATTTTTAATGGCCATTTCAAAGTCCATGTGGTTGTAAAGCATCATAATATTGTGAATATCAGAACATTCACTAAGCTAAAGGGCTAAATATAATAATGTAACAGATTTAAAGAAAAAGTAACCACAATTATGCTTGCCTTTGGTGATCGGATCAATCTCTTCTGTGTTTTCTTCCTAGGCCCTCTTGGTCTTCCTTTTGGCCACCCTGACTTCTTTTTCTCTATAGGGGGCTCTGGGGCCTGAGATGAATTTGATTTATCCTCTACCATGATTAAATCATTATCAAGAATGGGGAGTCTCTCTTTCTTTGGTCTGCCAGGTCCTCTCTTCACTGGGGTTCCATTGTTGACTCCTACTGCAGATTTATTGACTCCATTTGTCAGAGGTTTATCTACAAAATAATAATCAATATAAATATTTTAGAGCAGTATATTTGACTCAGCTGGTGTAACAAAATTCTCTAAGACCATTTTTCTGTTTCATAGAAAAAGACATTATTTCATTAAAAAACCTTTTGAACATTGGATGTAAACCTTCATGTACCCTGAACTCCAATATTTCTTTAAGACATTGCTAAAAGCAGCTTCACCATTGCTACAAAGTAATATAGCCGTTTGTAAAGGTCAATAAAGAAAGGAAAATGCTTTGTTTATCACAAAACGATATAGCTGGAAGAGTGGTAACTAGTGTTGAAGGGAGTTAAACACAATCTCTTCAGCAACCAATGACATATTTGAAGGCCTGAAGAGAAGCGGTTATGATGAAAGGATTATTAACGAACCTGTCATGAAATAATCTCTGATATCTCCAACACCATTTTTACGTCTTCTCTTTGCGTCAGGTTCACTTGAATTATTATTAGAAGTATCTAATGAACTGTTTAGTCTCTTTCTTCCAGGTTTTCTTCCAGGCTGGAAAAGATGACATGGATCAATTAGTCTTGAACATCACACAATTATTCACGGTCACCAGAAATCCACATGCCGGCTGAGATTAAAACTCATGACAACCAGTTTTTTGTTGTAACAAAAGTTGTACTTCATGTAAAGATTTCGTAGCTCTAAAAAACTGTGCTACAGCCAGACAGTCTTTTTCATGAGTTTTACTGCACTGGTTAGGTTCATGAAGCCAGCTGTCTTGCAGTGTACAACGAGGGAAATTTTGCCAGGAAAGCAGCTTTAGAGTAATCATCTTTGATTTCCAACATTCAAGGGATCTTTAACATGCACAGCCTGTCTCACAGCTTGGAACTATGTTTGATTGTCCCAACCAGGTTTATAAATACGACCTATGCCAGGATTGAACCCTGGATCATTGACTAAGGGGCCAATGTAACAGACAAAAAAATCTAAGAAAAGTTTTACCTTTTTCTTAAGAACAGGAGGTGGTGTAGGACTCCTGACTTTAACTGGACTATCATCTTTACTATCTTCACAAATACCATCAACTTCTTCATTGACTTTCTTTAACTGTGATTAGAGAAAACATCTTACATATAAATAGGGTCATTATTTATACAGGCTTATTGATAGGTGTTGTTGTATAATAGAGGTCATATTGTTCACAATACATTCAAATAGAAATGTCTGAATGATCTGTTAATGAAATATATGTCACTGATTTATTTGTCACTCGTTTTAAGTGACAAGTTTAAGTAATGGACAGTCATATTTGCATTGTATATAGCTGACTTAAACTAATAATTACTAAATGGTTGAGAATTTTGCTGAATGAAACCAACAAAATGTGAAAATTCCAGAGTTATGGAAAGAAAAGTGTACAATCAGAGACACTTCGAAACAAGTATTTCATTAACAGATTACCCATTCATACACAGGCATTTGTTTATCCTTCAAGCAGAGTAAGCATAATCACAGTCAAAATAGCCTAAAGTACTTGGAAATAGAAACAAATGCCTGTGTCTTACAATTCCTCTACCCTTACAACAACCAAATTGAGTATGTTTAGTATAAAATAAAGCGGCAAGCATGAAATAGCCAGTACAGAAAACATGGTTCTAATGAATGATTGTGACTGATATGGTCTGATAAATGAGATTTTAAAGGGATTTTCAAAGGATTGTGTGAAGGTTCTCAGGGTTTCTTGTAGTGGAGGGGATTTAAATCAACATTAATGCCTCTAACACACTACAATTTAGCATAACAACAAAATACATGAAAATGTACATTCACTATGGTCAGTGAAGTCAGTCATGCAGACAATTTGTATCAAAATGGTGGCCTTTGTCATACAAAGCAACTTGATCTCCACTTTCTTTCTCCCACATGATAAAATCTAAAATAGGTGTAAGCTCATACAAGCTCTTCCAAACCTAGTTTTCCCTGCATCTCTCATGCTGTGCTCATTAATAAAATACTATATATGACACCTTTCCTAAACAATCCACGCCATGCAAAATGATTCAAATACAAAGACACTAGTACACACACCGGGAAAGATACAGGTGAAAATAATGAGCAATGTGATGGGTTTTCAATGAATAAAAAAAAATAAAAAGAAAGAAACTAAAGCAGCCATGCTAAATAACCTCATTTTCAACCTTTTCCTCTTCTTCTTGTAACTGATGAGTAGTAATTAATGGAGTCCAACGTAAACATTCACTGTCTATTTCTAATCTTTTAACCTTTTTACTTTTTTCTAGATATTCTTCTATCATCTTGTCATTTTTAACAATGACAACTCTGTAAATGAAATTAGTTATAGGTCAATACCATGCAGTGTGTCATAGGAGGAATCATACAAATATTTAACTGTCATTGGAATGTAAATAACAGTGGATTAATTTTTAATAACTATAAGGCACCTTAATAAAAAAGCAGGCTTTCTAGATCATGTTTTAATGAAACACAGTGCATTTTCTATGATGGACTTGCAAATTACATTGTATATCAATTAGGTCTCTTTAGAGTCTTATGCAACAAAGAGTGCCAACATAACACTGATATAAAATGGAAGTAGAACTTTTCTTCTACATGCACATTAGAGTGCCCTGTTCCCTGAACAATAGAAGAAATGACTTACTTTCCATCTTTCTTTGAGATTAAGTTGAGATTCTGTAGAGTGAGAGCTATATCACAGGCACATATACCAGTACTTTTACTTATTGCTAAAAAATAATCATAACATTCAAATAAATAGAGAGATCAAATCAGAAAAGCACATTATTATCCTATTTCATACAGATACTAGTACATGAGGAAGTTACTCATACTAGGTGATAAGAATGAGGCATGTTATCTTTCACAGGATCTCTTTCACACATTCATCCAACTTGACGTAAGGTCTCCTTTTCTCATAATACTTAATGTGAATACTGTTTCTAAAATTCATTTTGTTTGACTCTCGATAAATTTTGAATGTATGTTTTCACATACAGTTGCCTTTGATAGGTCTGATGTCAGAAATTCTGAGTTGATCGGAAATATCTTTGAAAGTAAAAATATTACTAACCTTTGATACTGAGTTTACTATCTGTAAATTTAGATAAATAATCCAATACTATACTCTTCCAATAAGCTAGATATGATACTTTCCCCAGATCTGATAAGGGTTTTTCTGGAGAACCAGGTTGACCTTCGATACGTGATAATAAATAACCTGAAAATACAGACTAGAAATGTCACTTCTGCTTCCAGAGAGTTTAGAAGTAAAACAACTAAGTTTCACTAGAATCCAGTCTATCAGCAGTTCCTTGGCAATAATCTTTTCCAGATTATCCTTACCAATTTACGGCTAGATCGACTGGAAGTATGAGAATAGATTATTTATTCAAGGTCGCTAATCTTCCACAATTTGTTTGACTTAATTATACCAATTTATCACGATTTATATATGTATTTCAATAAGTATTCTAATGATGGTTAATGACTTATGTTACTTACTGAATTCAATGAGAAATCTACCATAACCTTTACGTTGATGTTGAGGCATTGATAAGATACAAGATACATTATATTTCTGTTGACAGTGTTTCTCCTGTAAATAATATAAATTTATACACGTTATGGTAATACATGATATGATATAGACTGATAATATATTTTCTTATTCTCAATGTAATTAAAAGGTTTGTAAAGAGGTTTTCTAAAACTAAGAGTTTAATGATCTCAATAACGTCAAGGCCAAAAGATATTAAGAGGAACCACACGAGCCTGATTGAAAATTGGAATGGTGCAATCGTCCTCATCTTCCTCCATCATAAGAACGAGAATTTATGCTAGGACAATGCCACATATTCTAATCTCTACTTCTAACTGAAGAAAAATCTTTCATAGAGCAGGGTTCACAGCAATGGCTTCTACACAGAGCACATAGTCAAAAATAACAGAAATCTTTGGAAACAGAAATTGAAACTCACCTTAGAAAAATAGCCAACTAAATGGCATCCTTCACTATCATTATGAGTTAAAACATAAAACAGGAATGGTTCAACATCATAGTACAGAGTTTTATGATCCAGAAATAACTTAGCTAATAAACACAGATTCTGACAGTAAATTTTACTGACGTTTCCGTCAACTTCAAATACTGAGATATCGCCATTACGGTAAATTTCATTGGCTGGTGGATGATTTAATGGGCATTTTGTCTGAAAAGAGAATAACCAAAGGAAAATTAAATTTTTACCGTTCATTTCAAATCCCACAATACTAAAGTGGGAGATAAAATTGTTTAGTAATCATGTTTCCAAATGGAATTTACCTTTATTGGTACAGGAAACAAAAATATCTCTTTTGTCTTTGAAAATTGGCTTCTAGTCATCTTTAAGGTCAGCCTCTAACACATTTAGCAATGGATGTGCACGCAGATTTAAGGAATATGATTTAATTTTTTTCATCATTACAAAATTTATTCATCTTAACTTAGTATTCTGGCGACATATTCTCGAAATGATTTTAGCTGGGATATCCTAGAAACTGTGTAAGATATTAAGAACATCCTAGCACTAAGATTGTTTTGAGAATACGCAGCCAGGACAAGACTTGTAAACTTAGTAAACTAGAGAGAAATATGCTGAGGTCATATTCCAAAAAACTTACCATATGACGTTTCAGCAGTCTTTTAGATTTCATGAATTTCAGGCAATATTCACAGATAAAAAGTTTTGGTAGCCTAAAATAGAATATAGAAATCAAAATTATGAACCTGACAGAGACAATTCAAGTTTAATCTAAAAGGGGGACAGATTTATCATGCTGTTTTGTAATGTTATAGTGTTTCAAATTGACAATCTCATGAAAGAATAGCCATTTTTAGAACCACAAAGCCTTCACTTGTAAACTTGTTAAACAAACATTACAGTAAATCATATTGATTGAAATGAACAAAAAAATATAATAAAGAGTAGAGGTGTGTGTCAATTATGACTTTGACAAAATTGGGCGATCATTATTCTAATTATGTCTTATTCTGTCTTACCCAGCATATTCCTGAGGATAAGGTGATGAATACCATGTTTGTATGTCATATTTACCAAATTCTATACAAGGTGGAAATCGTGTCTGAGGTTCAGTTGGTGGGGGATCATCAGAGCTTGATGCTGCCTAAAATAGTCAAAAATAAAACTTTGAAACAATCTGAAAGAATGTATCAGTTGTATTTTAGATTACATGAAATAATGTTATCATTCTCATGCAAGACAGGCAAAACCAGGAATTAATTTTACTTAAAACTCAACAAAAAGCAATCAATCAAATCGATTTCCAACTGTCAAAGGATTGTTAACATGCACAGATTGTGTAGTACACAGGGCTTTGGTTTATTGTGGACTAGACGCTTTTTCCAAGTTAGTCCCTCCAACCTGCATCTATGACAGGGGGAAACTGGGTTGAAAAAATTAGAAGGTGGAACCCTGAAACCTATGACCAATTACGTCTGATGCAACGATGGACAAATGTATCGAGTGTTTGGTACGTTGAATAAAAACAGATTACGTCCTCAACCAAACAACATTATAATATCTCATAACGTGAAATAACTAACTGAGCAGTTAACCAACAGAAAATAGTATACCTGAGTTAAAGCCTCCTGTGCCATATCTCTAGCCTTCTGGAACATTTCAATATCATCATCAGTAACGCCTGGTGTATAAACATCATTGTCTACTTCAGACTTGATATTCTCAACTACAAAATATAGAATACAACTTGATAAACACAGTAATATGACAGTCTTACTCCAATTAACATTAATTAACATAGTGTTTAATTAATAAATAAAAACATTGAATAATTGAAAATAATTCATTAAAAATAAATGAAATTATGAAATCAACATGCATTGCTAAGTAACTGATTGAGTAATTCCCAAGACCATGTATTTTAAGTATCATGCTTGAAAAAAAAAGAAAAAAAAAACTCAGAGTGTTATTACAACAATAAAATAAATATGCCACATAATTCTACAAAACTAAATTAAACAAAAAATTAGTCCAATTTGGCCAAAAATAATATATAACTAAACACAATATCATTTTAAAACTAGACCAAATTTATACAACAACAATATTACATCCATAGGTCTATTTAATCATTATATCATTTGTTTAATATCAATCATATTTTTTACTGAATTCAAGTTAAACCTTAATTCTAAAAACTTTGTGTAGATGTGAAAATTTGAAATTTTAGAAAAATCTTGTATTATTGTAATCTTCACTCGTTGCTCAATATACAAAATTATGGACATTTTTAGCTTCAAAGGATATCTATCAATCATTTTCTTACACAATTGTGACTCGACTCAAAAATATGCCAAAAATGGTCAATCCATGATGGGTACCTTTTAGAAAATATTTATCTCAAGACTTCTCTTTTAGTTTTGAATAATAAAGCTTTCGGATAAAAACATCATCACATTTTAAATTTGTTGATTGACAATATGAACGAAAGATACAATAGATCTATGGAGATTAGTAAAAACCAAAAGGATATATTAGCTGTGGCAGTGTATTTGATTGTCATATATTAATCACTATATAGTCTGTCTTGTTAATTAGTAGGTATAAAGGTCTCTAAATAGCAGACTAACTTCTAGCTACGGTACCCTGAACCGACCATTATATCTTACCCTTAGTCTTTCCCCTGCCTCGACCGCGATGGCCTTTACTAGGTCTGTCCATTAGCTCATAGTCAGCATCATCTACATCCTTCTTAAATGGTGGAAATCTGGTGCTGTTAAAACTGTGCTTTTTGAAAGAACCCCTCCCCCGCCCAATGCCCATCCCAAAATAAGGTGGTAATGGTTCTGGGCTTTCAAGACAATCAAAATTATAAACATCGTTGATATCTAGATTACTGCTACTAGGGCTATCTAATACCGGTGTTGAAATACAAATTGATTTGTGAAAATTTGACGGTGGGGAATATTGGGAATTATTGCGTTTCCTCTCCCCTTGGGCAGTAAAGAGATGAGACAGGCCATCAAAGAGACCCTTCAATTGGTTGGTACCTGGAGAATCTCCGCAACTTTTCCGACGTTTATGAACTTGTAACATTCTCGATTTTTTTAACAGCTTGTTGGCTGCTCGTTGAGATTTACTAGTTTTCTGTCTCTGTCCATTTTTCACAACCATTGGAAATGTGTCCAAAGCACTAAGAGATACACGAGATTTACGCTTGTTTGTAGGAGTGAAGAATCGAGAAAGTCCATCCACTAATCCTTTTGGTCGACCATCCTCTCCTAAATCATCAGTCTGAAATGGCAGAGTATCATCATCACTCTCCCCACTATCACTAGATGAACTGTGGCCATTTTTCATTTTATCGTTAGTTTTTTCTTTCCTGGGTCTACCAGGTCTTTTATGTTGAACTAGTTTTGGGGTCGAACTTCTGAAATAGAAGAAAGTTGAATTAGGAATGAGTTAATAGTGTGAAAGTGAGTTAAATAACTTTAAAAATCAAATTGTGAATACTTTTGGAGAGGTTTAATACAGTCTAAGCCTTTAATAATGCATATTTGAATAAAATTTAAATAAAATACTTTTTGGATGAAAAAATATTGTGAATATTGTCATTGACATTGAAAAAAAGAGAGTTCACACGAACAAGCTAATTTTTCTTGAGAAAACTGTATTTAAGTCACATTTACATCAAAATTGATGGATACCTACAATAATTCAAAACATCATAGTTTTAACCTTTTTTAAATGGACCCACATTAGTATTGCTGAATGCCTACAACACTTTAACACTTGATAGTTCTTGTAATAAGACTTCAGACTCAAGGTACAATGGTTAAATAAATTCCACAATAAATCAGTTACTAAATCATACTTACTTCATTCTAGAAGCTGAATTATTCATATTTTTCATATCATGAGCAAAACTACGACATTTTGCCATGTATAGTTTGGCAGCCTCTAGTACCTGACGACCAGTTTTGTTGCCCCTGTCTGGATCACATAGGTTACACGACCAATTTCCTGAGGACAGAAAAACATATAAGGTTAGAAAGAATAACAACCCAACTTGTATTCTCAGCGTCATAAAAATAAAATCCTCAATGTAAGGGGAGATTACAAATCACATTCCTGGAAAATTGCAAAACTGACTTCTGTCTGAGATAATGGCTTTTGTGTATGCTTAGCTTTGTGCACCTTGAAGATTTTATAAGCTTCCTGCATCAAGCAGTGTGCAATGTAACTAAATCTTAAAAGTACAATATCTTATTATTCCTAGTTCAAGAGAAAATAAATTTAGAGATACAGGTAACTGTATGTTCAATATTAAAAATTGTAAAAAATATTTACCTTTTGGTGGTTTTGACAATGGTGGATCACAACAGTTCATATGGAAACCTCGATCACACTCATCACAAAACAACATATTGGTCTGAAATATCAAATTATACACTAATGAATGATGTTAACACTGTATCTGTCCAAAGCAATGAAAGAGGCTTCAAAACTCAAACACCAGTCGTCTAGGGTGGATGAAAAAAATCTCTGCCATTCAAAACAAAACACACTGATATACGATTCTTACATTCTCCTTTAAAAAAAAGAATGGTTTCTTTCCACTTCTTAACTGGCATCTGTGTAAAACTTCTGTGATGAAAAATATGGAAAACTTACCTCTACTCCTGATTTGCCACAAAGGGAACATTTTTTACACTCGATACACTGCCACCGTAGCCTTTTAACCCTAGCTGTGACCTCTGGTGAGAATTTCAGACACGATGGATGACCTAAAAGAATTAAACAACAGTTTGAACGATTTATCCATGAACAATCCCAGACCTTTAGCAGTTATCATTGTATAATGGGTCTTTAATCATTTGGTAAAAACAAGCAGATGGACTCGATCCTTGGGACTTAATATTTAGTCTACTTTTCTTTAAAACAGCAGTTTTTATCTGGGGAACAGTAGATTAAACCCTCTGAATCTCAGTTCTTATTCACGTTCAAGTATGATTATAAACAGAAATTTTCTTTTAAATCAAAGGGAGATAATTACCACTACTGCCACAATCTGCACATGAGATGAGATCCTCTTTCTCCCCTGTTCTATTTGATTCTACTGTACCATAACAATAGCTACAAATTGGTAATGGCTTCACTCTTTTCTGGAAAAAATATCAAAAGAATGTCACAATTGTTGTTCTGATAATGAAATGAACAATAGTGCAAATACTTGCAGCAACAAGAACCTAATAAAATTTTAGTATTTTATGACATTTCCATTAAATTTCATACAGAAAGATTTTCATAATCTACTCATGCCAAATAGCAACACAAATGAGTACGATATGATTTCAGTTTATAAGCTTATCGCTTATGTGGTAGCCCTACATGTACAATAACTAATTTATGTACAATGAAAACATAGAATACATATATAGCCTGACCTGTTCATAGGAAAACATTGCATAGAACAGACAATATAGAAAAACATTTGATGCTTAGATAGAGATTAGGGTGGAGTTATTTACCTTATTTCTTTCAAAAGGAAGAATAATATCTATATCATCAATATCTTCTTCAAAACTAGCCTGTAAACTACTGTTATTAGAATCTGTTTCACTAAACGTTGTATTTAAGACTAACTTGATATACCGTCCCTCTTTCGATACCACCCCTTTTTCTAATGCTTTGGCTAGTGAGGACTCCAATTGGCTGTAGAGTTCAGCATCCCCTTGCAAGTCAATGTTATAACTAGCTTCCACAAATTTGGCCACAGATTTAAGAGTGGATCCTTGGTGTTCTCCCAATTCACGAACTGATCGCAAAATTATTTTCGTCAAGTCTGATTTCTTGCTGATTTTTAATAACCTTGTACTCAATTGAGACACTCGACATGGATCTTTGTAAGAGACGATTCCCTTATTCAGCACTTTCAAAATTTCTCCATTATTAACAGCTACATCCAGTTGTTTTTCAATTTCCTCTCTACTAAACTTGGAATTGTGTTTCACCGCATTGCAAATACGATCAAGACTAGGTCTTTGTTTTTGGTGTTTTATTTTTCTGATAGCTTCTAGCAGAAACTTGGTCTGAAAACTAGTCTCCATATTGGCACTTCTATCCATTTGATCACTATGTTTTTCCTTCACCATTTTGATACAATGGGAAGGAACAAATTATTTTGGTCCTCTAGATCTCAAAGTTTCTTTATTTCAGTATATTACATGTATGAATTGATATCATTTCTTCTTCTGATAACAAATATTTTCTCATCTGCTCCATTTTTCAATCTAATGGACATTTAGCAACACCTGGAAAACAAATTTGTTGATCATATTAGAATACTGGTACATCACCAAAAATTATAATTCCAAAATTTGGACTGAGGGGAAGGTGAAACATAGACGCAAAGTAGGTATGGATGAAAAGATATCAGTGATTTGAGTCAACAATTTTTCTACTGCGCAGAAAATGCAACGTAACAAAATAATCATATAGGCTAACTGCTATACTCTACTGTGTTATTTGAGTTTATTTTCACCATTAAGCTCAATTAGATTTAGCTCAAGCGTTCAATTGGTAAATTTTCATTTGCAATTTAATACTCTTAAGCCTATTTGATTTACTGACTGATAAGTGATTAAGAATACATAGATTTGTAGGCCTATGTCACAAATGACTAATCTTATAGAAATACTTCACAGTTTTTCATTTAATGCTTGGCAACTTTAATGATTAACTTATTATATAACCATGGAGCATATCAATCATGTGGTGCTCATCTTATATTTCATCTAAAAATTTCTGTGATGTGAAAATTTCTGTAATTATTCTCAACCATAACTGTAAACTGGCCAACAATAACAACACAATATCAACATTTCATTGCCTTACGACATTGCGTGAGGCAGATATTTTCAAAATTGGATACAATCAATTTAAAACTTTCTTGAGAACAAAGATTTACATTCATAAACATTTGTCTCTACTGAATGGTTTAATCAAATGAACAGTCAATGACAAAATACTGATTCCTTTCTTAATTCAAAAAATTAAAATGGCGACTTTGTTTTTCTTTGATTTCATGTCAAAATGGCGGACAATAAACCCGTTGAAAGAGGGTCATTTTATTTTCAAATTTTACTTCCAATCAAGACCGAAACATAGTAAGAAAATGTATTCTATATTTCAAGGAAACACCAAAAGTCATAATTATCCGTGTAAAGAAATCTAAATATAAACCAAAACGGCTTTATTCTTCGTCTAAAAATTGTTGATTTTTTCATAATTTTTGATGATTACGGAAAGATTTCTGAGATTAAAGCAAGAATTATAGCATTCTCCAAAAGGTATAAAATTCAAATAAAATACTAAAATTGTCGCCGAATTGCCCTTTTCAAAACAGCAAAGGTATAATTTAAAAACTTACACTGGTTTTTCCGTTAAAATTGAAATCAGTATCAGCTCAGCCGTTTGTGATTATAACCATAATCCAATATGGCCGCCTTATAGCTGGTAGGGAGAATTTGATACTACGTCATGATTTATATTTTTGCAATTTCCTCTGATTTAAAAACAATACAAGCGCTTTTGGGTGTAAATCAATACTTATTTAGTTACATGGAATTATTATGGAAGTACTATTCATGTTTTACCTTCTATTAAGATATATTTTGATATTTTTCTCAAAAATAATAATACGTTTTATGACGAATGTTTGATTGATAAAACAATTTGTCGTTTTCCACAAGGAGAACGATTTTGATTGGTTAAAAATTGTGATCATAATAAATAACTGGGCCTGCAAACAGAACCGAAAGTGGTTAATAAATTTTGCTGTCATTTTAAGTGTGCATTTTTTGAGACTTAAAAATAAATTTGTCAATTTCCTTAATTTTAAAGATTTGTGATTTTTATATCATTTTAAGTTTAAGTCGAAAAGATATAAATACATCACCCGATGTCTTCCTTCCCTTTCCATGTCTCAATCCTCAACCACCCCCCCCCCCCCCACCCCTCCCACCCCTTCCGAAATCGCCCCTTTAAACGTCTAATATAGGGCTACATAGATAAGAAATTATGCATCTACAAACGGAAATTTAATTCATTTTGAGAAAGGCTAAATATCCATGTAGGGGTCAGCATTTTCTTGTAAACTCTAATGAAGGAAAGATCCAGGCCCGTAGATACAGGGGGCAAGGGGACATTGCAGGGAAAAAATTATTGCCCCCCCCCTCTGACAGCCGACCAGTTCCGTTACTGCAACTAAACACCATACACAAATTCTCCTCCGGATATATTATTTGCCTCTCCGAATAATCAAGTCTGGCTAAGGACGTGGAAAGATCTGATCGCGGAATCGAATGTACCAAGAGCAGCGAGAATTTTAGATCAGGTGACGGGGGAGGGTGGGGGGTGAGTGGTCAAGAGTCTCAGGCCAAGAATATATTTATGTACTGCAGTTGCCTAATCCCCTTCTCTTCTCTTTTCTCTTTACAAAAAGGGCATAGTATATAGTTTTGACAAGATATTAAGTATTTAAATTCGCCTTAATATAAATTTCTAAACGAAAGATTAAAATGGAAAAAATACCCTATTTGAATTTGTGCAGTCCGAATGGTTTAATTGAGTTATTTCCCTTGTACTTTAGAACTCGTTTTACGCTCCCAGATAACTATCCAGAAAGCACATATCCTGGATGAACTATTATCACCACGGTATCGACATTATTAAAAAATCGCTAAAATATTGTATTGTATAGAGGAGGTGATTTATACTTTTTACAAGTAATGGTACAAATTGATGCTATCAGTGCCAACGATACACATAATTTTTTTTTAAAGAAAACCTCGTTACAATTCCTTTAAGGCTAGCACATCTAGGTATGTGCACCGGTCGTTTAAAATTGCCTACTCTAAAGAGTGATATATAAACCCATAAGTTTGACATTGTTTTGATTGGTTTGCAAAAATCATAACCTGAAGCAGGGTTTAGACCCACGCACGGCACCTGATAACAAGGAAAGATAACTGCGGCAACGAACGATAACTCTAGTTACCGCAAACGGAGAATCGCCTCATAACAGATGACAACTCACTCACTTGTCTTTCTTATAGGCCTACTGGCCAAATCTTTCATTGGCTATAAATATATTATGTGAAAAAGTGGGACATCTAGGAACTGTACTGCATGTGGAACTGGTTCATGCAACCAGCTATCTACATCTGATATTTTTTTACGTAAACTGTATAAACTGATCATTCTGTCCAAGGCACCTAGTCCGAAACATCTGCGTTTATTCAAGCCTCTGATAGATAGCCTCAACTTTTATTTATTAAAGGCTGGAAGAGAGGCAGATGTTTCGGTCTACGAGGTACCATTACACTTTCCACGGGCTGCAATGAATTGAACAGTTTGTATAGCTAATTTGTTTCGCAATCAAAATCATCTGTCTTAGAATATGATCAGAATTTCTCGGATAATTCTGACAACAGAAACCGGAATTTTGCTAGAAGGCGTGGGTATATGGGTGGATACGATACTTCTATAATGTCTTGGACAACCGCTATCAAGTAAAGAATTCATGAAGTTCTGGCTTAAATTTGACGACAAATAAACACCCCTAATTAAAAAAATGAGCTCATCCAATCATATACACAATTATAGACCAAAGTTAAAGAAAGTACGCATGTATGGGAGAGTTCAATAAAAAATTAAGGGGTGTCAAGTAGATGTTAGACACACAATATCCAGAATTTCCACGAAGTAACTTAAAATGAACAAATAAATAAATAAGTTATAAATTTTATTTGATTGATATACAAAATAACTTTCATACTTTAATTGGTTATAAATAACTCAATATTATAGATGTTTATCATGAAATTTTTCATAGGTCCCTGTAATCTATAAGATACAAAGCATTGAGTTTAGCAAAAACATCAAAAATCAGAGGTATGGTAGCCAGAAGCGACCAGTTTAAATAGTGAAATCAGTAATGCGAAGATGCTGAAATCAGCCACCATATATAGTGATAGGATTATTCGAGTGTCGAAAATATTCTATAGCGAATTATGGTTAACAAGTCATTAGCTATGCAAAGGGAAGTTGGACAAAATATATTTTCGATAGCAGTGGCGTATTTAGGCAGTAACTTTTGGGCCACGGCCCCCTCTCGGGTCTTTAAAAATGAAAAATCCAAAATCGTGTAAGATGTATCCTCCGGCTTCTGACATAACAAAATCTTCCAGGGAGAGGCTCTCTGATCTTCCCACCTAGTACCCTCAAATATCTGCAAAGGTATGTCGGGGCGATCGTATGCCTCCCCCCCCCCCCCCACACACACACAATAATGAAAACAGCAATGACCCCACCCACCCACATCCACACTTCTCTCCCTCTTCTCCGCTTAGTCCACGACCCGTCTCTGACACGTATTGTGATACCACAGTCAACTCAAAATCTTGCAAAACAATATAAAAAGGTTTAAGCAATTTGTATCATTGGGATTTTTAAGGACTTGACCCAAAGACTATATCAAATATGGACTAAGATAGATTAAGTTGTTTGTACGTACCAATAGAAAGCTCTATCAATCTTGTGTTCTATTTGACGGAATATTACTCACAAATTCTGAAGTAAAAGCGAATAGATATTTTAAATAAAGTCATATCAATAAAAACGTTTCTGTTTCTATTTTCAATTACAAATGACTGTCAATTACAAATGACTATCAATTACAAATGACTTTCAATAACAAATGACTATCAATGACAAATGACTATCAATTACAAAAGACTATCAATTACAAATGACTAGGATACCCTGCTATACCAGTCTCTAATAGCTATTGTGAAAGTTGTCGGTTGGTGTAGAGAAAAAAACACATCTTCGGAGGAGTGGAAAATCTTCATAAAACGGTCTAGTTTTTCTGATTCTTCTCCAGCGGATAACTGTCAAAATATCTACCAGAGGTTGGAATAGAGGCAGATGTTTCGGACTACCTTTAATGCAGAAAGCTTTAAATTGTACATACCATCTGGAAAATCCAAGACATTGTTTTTATTTCTATCCATCCGCCTTGCGTCTTCTTCAATTTGTTGTATTG